TTTTGCCTGCAACTCCTTTGCATGTGAAGCTTCAACCATTTTCCAAGCCTTGTCAATTTCCTAATCAACAGTACAATAAACAGATAATTTGCTAGGGCAAATAATGTGGCAAATTTAAGTCTAATATGAGGACATCATGTTTACTTCTGAAGACACAATGAGCACAACATCCATTTTAGAGTGCAGTAATTTCAGGCTAATGTACCATTTTAAGAGAGGTGATTGTGGCTTGATCTTCATCAGCTAGTTTCATGGCTGTGGATACTTTGACGGTGTTGGACATTATCTCTGCGTTCAGCTCCCTGCATTTGGACATCAGTCTCTTTTCGTTCTCGTGGGACTTCCGAAGAGCTTTGGCGATCTTCTCATATTCCACACGGAACTTCTCAAACTTTTCGTCTCCTAATAACTCATTTAAAACCTCCTGGATGTCTTTTTCCAATGCTTCAAAGGTGCTTTCCTCAGTCTGAAAATCAGAAAATGTACAGTAAGTGATATTATAAGATGTTGCCTGATAACTCAGAACCTATGCTGACAGTGTAAATGTTGAAGAGAGTCTGAAAGTGTTGAAGAGAGTCTGGCAGATTTGTAAAGTCTACAGTAGCACTGCTGATGACATACTGAAATATATGATCAAACACAAAAAAAACTAAGAGGAGGCAGAAGGTGCTGGTTTTAATACAGCTGTTGGAGATTTCACTGCAGAAAAATCACAGAAAAAAATGAAAGGAATCATGCACTGACGCTTTGTCTAATCCATCTAAATATACAGTTGATCGATCATTCCTTCAAACCATTATTTCAGATCTCTCAGCAATTACAAGATTTACAAAAGATTGATGGGGTGAAAAAGCCTAAGGCATCTTTTGGCAGAAAATAAATAATTGGTAAGGAAAAAAGTAAAAGAACTGCTGCTTTCAATTTGCAATTTCTGCTGTATAAATAAATAAATGCTTTTATCCTTGTGTTATTAAAAGGATAAACAGCAAATAATGAATACAGTTAAAATGGGACACTTTCTGATAATTTTCCATTATGTTGTTTCAAATAGAATTACAAATATCTGTCCCACTATCTGTATTTAGAAACCATAAACCAAGTTGTTAATGTTTACAACAATATTGACAATCGCACAAAATGTAGCCTACTTCTAAAAAAAAAA